AGTACGATCGCTGGGGAGCAGCTGATAAATCACAATGTCTGTTTGGAGTCGGAGCAGCAAATATCAATGCCGTGTACAGACTTCTTCCTTAGACGCCACAGCGATGAGTGATTTTACTTAAAAGACGGAAAGTCATTTATCATTTATCAAAATGGCTCTGGGAGAAAGTAAAGAGAAGAATATATGTAACATGTGCGTCGAATAATAGTTTCGAAGCAAAGAAGTGGAATAAAGAAATAATGTCTCTTTGTCGCGTTATATATTTATCAACAGTTTGGAATCTTTAAAACGGGATGGTGTGCTTTGAAGGGCTTGGCCATGCCTACTTTCCACACCGTGAAAATTGCATTTTAAGTCAACACAGTCATAAATTCTGTCTAACCTTTGCATTATTTAGAACTTTTGCCCCACTATAAACCTTTCATTGCTCAAACCGCAATGGCTTTGGTATGCCTACTTCCCACACAGTGAAAATTACATGTAAAGTCGTGCTAGTTATACTGTCTATTCTCCAAGGCTGAACCTATAGTATGACCAAACTTGACTGGCTGGTAAAATTCTTTACATTCTACTAACCACAATAAGTTGTAATTTACATTAATTTGTGTCTCAGCGGGCTCCACCACAATGGATAGATCAGCTTTTGTCACCGTAATAAGAGTTCGTTCAAAATAGTTTGTGCCTCTACGCTTTCTTTGAAGTATTTACCTGTGCGATTTCTAAGCGCCTTCGTCTGGAGGAATTTGGGGCCCCAACCGGGAATTGATTTTGTTATGTGATCTCAATGGGCGAGTGAACTGTCCAGCGAGCTTGACTTGCCAGAGAAATCAGGGAAAACGTCTCTGTACCGNATTTAGAATTTTTGCCCCACTATAAACCTTCCATTGCTCAAAGCGCAATAGCTTGGGTATGCCTACTTCCCACACAGTGAAAATTACATTTAAAGTCGCACTAGTTATACTGTCTATTCTCCAAGCGTTAACCTATAGTATGACCAAAATTGACTGGCTGGTAAAATTCTTTACATTTTACTTATCACAATGAGTTGTAACTTGCATTAATTTGTGCCTCAAAGGGCTCCACCACAATGGGTAGATCAGCTTTTGTCACCGTAATAAGCGTTCGTTCAAAATAGTTTGTGCCTCTACGCTTTCTTTGAAATATTTGCCTGCGCGATTTCTAGGCGCCTTCGTCAGGGGGAATTTGGGGCTCCAACGGGCAATTGATTTTGTTCTGTGACCTCAATGGGCGATTGAACTGTCCAGCGAGCTTGACTTGCCAGAGAAATCAGGGAAAACGTCTCTGTACCGTATGATGTCTAAAATACTTTGACTTTCAATTACATCCAATCTCCTTCGATTACAGTTTGGTCGACAGTGCAGCAGTGGACATGACTGTGCGCATAAATAACTCGTTAAAGTACATGGTCTTCCCCTGAAAATATCTCTAACTCGTTCGTGACCCTGGTGGCTTCTTCGAGCGACTGCTAAAATTGCGTTTGACATGCTAACTCTATTGAAGAGAATAAAAATCTGATCTGCATAGTATCTTTGATCGATCTTCTCGACTGTACAACTCGGTGGTAGATACGTCATGTGTGGGGGCACAAATTGTCAACTAATGTCGCTAACCCTGTGTACTTCATCTTCCCAAAATCATCTCCAAAGAAAAGAATTTTGATGAAAAAGCGAGTGTTGAGTCCCATATATAAAGTGCCCAGGTCCCACATGATCAGTCAATAATAGGGTTGCTTCTCGCTAAGGCTCGAAGCAATTCTCGCTAAGCTCACAGCAATAATTATAACAAATCGACTTCCTTAAAAGACAACTGTAGACCCTGTACTTCAACGGAGAATATTCAGAGAACTTTAGACATACGTTGCAATAGAAATGTGCCAAAACAAACCAAGCAAATGACAATGTTTTTTTTTCTCTAAATTTTGCACGGATCAGTCTGACTGCAGTGGAAAAACGTCGCCGCTTCAAATGGAATTTGATACGGGTGTCAATGCTCAGGCCAATTCTTTGAAATCTTGTTCGCTTATAAATTAGAATGCAAGGTCGAATGATTGTCTTTTTCATGTTTCGTCCAATCATAGCAAAATTATGGGAATTGCTAAGAGACATTGTCACCTATCCTATAGCGCTTTGTAAATTTCTTTGACGTTTCCAGCGTAATACGGTTATTAACTTGGGCATTTCTGAACTCGGAACATATAAAGGTGGAAGTTCTGGCTAACCTTCCTGTTTCCTTGCCGCCCGAAGAACACTCTTGTAAAGACTCCATTGTACCCACAAGAAGCTATTAAAGCTCTGGATTTAGTAACCGAAGAGGAAAATGGCCGTAAAACATGCTTTCTTGATTTGGGTGGTGTCGGCTTCAATTATGTCCAGAAGTATTGGTTTTCCAGTAAGTGAGTATTTTTCAAACGTTTAATCACCGCCAAGTCAGTTTTCGGGGAAGATTCTGGGCAACACTTATAATAATTAAGCTTCAAATTCAAGTAGGTGGGTTTTTCTTTATTCACTGTTAATACAGTCTTAAAAGCACTGTTTTGTGGTTCGGCGCTCAGTTTCGTCAAAGCGTTCCTCTGTGATGACATTTTGTTTTTAAAGCGGTATAAGCCAGGGACGTTTAATACAAATTACAACATATCTGTAAAAACACAAACAGCAAAAATTAGATCCTTTTACGCCAGCATATTCTTAGAGTGTGGGATAAAGCATTCTATTTTATACGCATAAATGGCAGCCGAGATCATATCCTTAGAATGAAAGAATCTCTGCGGCCTATTTCGTTCAATATTTTGTAAAAGAAGTCAAAATTTCAGTTAATCTTCTTAGTGGGAGGTGACAATTGTAACAAGCTGTTTTGCTATAGCTGAGGAAGCTTCCTGGAAAAATTTCTCTATCAAACAAAACTCGAGAAATAAAGCTAAAAGAACCCCGAGGGATGCATAAAAATTAAC